GAAGAGCTCTCCAGCTCTTCCATACAAGAAGGCTGAGAGCCCTTCAACTCTTCCAAATTAGAGGGCTCATTAGCCTTAAAGAGCTCTTTAGCTCTTCCACATTAGAAGGATCATCAACCTTGAAGAGTTTTGCAGCTCTTCCACATAAGAAGGATCATCAGCCTTAAAGAGCTCTGTAGCTCTTCCACATAAGAGGCTTATTAGCCTTACGAGCTTATCATCTCTTCAACCTTAGGATCTCAATCTAGCAAAGACTGAACAACCAAATACTATAGAAGAACTTGCATATTTAAGAAAAAGGAAAAAGGGGGCAAAGGGGAGGTTAAGATCCTCATTTCTCCAAGACCAAGACCTTGCAAAATTGAAGGGGGAGCAATATAGGAGCCTAAAATATAGTTCCAAGCAGAAAGCTACAAGATTCTAAGAATAGAAGGTTGAAGTTCATTAAAGTTTAGAACTTCAAAAAATTGAAAGTTGTACATTGCTCAAAAAAGGAAAATAGTACAACAAAGATTCATGCAGCCTTTTTAGATAACTGGGCATCTCCACCCAGTAGCTATATTCCTCAATCCTCATAAATATATGGTATGCCTGCAGTATAGTTGACACTCTTCTTTGCCTCATTCGTAGTCTCGGCCTTTTTCGCTACTAAATCACATGTTCCAACAACTATGGAAAGATCATTCTTTTCCTTCTTGCTCCCATCCCCGTCATCAGAAGGAGGTTCAAAGGCATCGAAATCTGGGTCAGGATAATATTTTTTAGGATATTGTTTCTTAGCTTGGGCTTTAAAGTCAAGATATCCATCCAAGTAGCTCTCTTCGATTTCTTCCTTGTACTTTGAAGAATTTTTAACTTTTTAACCACTTGGTCTGCATTCATAAGGAGTTGTGAAGATAAATTAGATCATTTCTTGGTGGCCTCTTCGAGTTGTTCTTTGACTTGCTTATCTCTAACCTTATTAACTGACTTTAAGGCAATAGCCAGATCAGACTTGATCTCCTTGATTTGATTTTTCAGGGTCAACTCAGAGGCCTCGACAATGTTCAATTGAATTTTCAACCTATTCACAATCTCATTTGCCGACCTCGCCTTAGCATCCATGTCATCCTGTTGCTTCTTAAGTACATGAAGTGTTAGGGCTAGGGAGCTCAAGCATGTGGCCACCTAAGAAAGGAAGAACAAAGTCATGAGAGTCAAAAAAGAACCAAATATAAAGAGGGAAAAGAACAAAGAAATAGACATTTACCTCAACAACTCCTTGGTACTCTCCTTTTACAGTGTTGCCAACCTTGCCTTGAGAAACATCATTGAAGTCAGATTGAGAAATAGTCAAAGATGACTTTAGCTTTTGTTGAGCAAGGGGATTTTGGGGTTTCCTCGAAATGCACCTCAAGAACATTAAGGTCCTTAGCCAGGTCAACAGGTAGGGAATCATCAGTTTTTTGGGGGTTAAAGGCTTTTTCCTTCTCAAGGAGTTCGGATCCTTTAGTATCCTACTCATCCACTTGTGACCTTTTCCTCGTCTTATGCATTTGAGTTTGCAAGGAGGGACCTCCTTATCACCCTCCTTCCAGGCTTCTAGCAGTTTCTTCAGGGTGTCTTTTTTGGGAGACATCTCTTCAAGATTTGCATGATGAACTAGAGGGTCATATAAAAAAGGGGGGAAGAGACAACAAACAAGAGGAATGAAAAAATAAAGCAAAAGATCACTCACCAAGAGAGATGAGTTCAACTTCAAGAAGGGAGCTGGTCTAATACTTGGTGACAGCTTGGACAAGCCTAGAACCAAATTGCTTGGCCTTCAAGATGTTTTCTCTGTCAATGTTCAATAGTAGAGGCATGTACTTTACAAAGAAAGATCAACAAATAGTAAGAAAAGGTCGACAAGTCATTCACATCGAAAAAACCCACCATTAAACACTTACTAGAATTAATAGGGGGAGCCCATTGCCTAAGAACCTAAAATGCTTGGTCAATATATCCATCAAATTCCCACACAGATTCAGAAACAAAGAAAAATTTGTTTTTCTAGTTCTTATGAGAAGATAGGAGTTCTATGACTAGAAGGGGACTACTAAACCTTTGGTAGGATAGGGTTTCACCTAGAAGAGCTTGACGAATTCAAAAACATAAGGCTCAGACTTGATCCCACTCTTTTCTTAAAATATATGAACATGCTAATTAATATACTCCATCCATTAGGGGACAGTCGAATAGGGGCCAAGCTAAAAATTTGGAGCACATACCTTATAAAGTCTTTCAAAGGGAATCTATGGCCGGCCTCAAAGGCTATTTTGAAAAAACACACCTTATTAGGCAAGGAATCCACACATCGTTCATCGCTAGTCAGCGCATGCATCTGCACTCCTTCAGGAAAACCACATTTATTCTTTAAAGACCTGATTTAAGGCTCAGTAATGTTACTAGGGAGGTTGGCTGAATAGTAGGTCAGATCGTCCAGATCATGGGGAACATTTTTACCCTTTTTTCTAGGAGCCCCTATGATTTGAGGTACAATGACTACAAGGGCAAGGGGTTGCTGGGCCTCTTGGTTTAAAGTTTCTTTATACCTTTGTTGGGAGTAGCTTTGAGAGCCCTCTTCTGGTCTTTGAGGGCATCTGATAATTGGGTAGTCAATATTCCGGGGGAGGCGTATATGATCATGAAACCAAAAGGCCTACCTTCCATAGATAGAGCTATCCCCAAAAAGGGAGGCCATTGAAGAAGAACTAGTAGAGGGCTTAGATGTGGTCAACTCAGCTATCCGAGACATTGGAGCAAAACACTTTAACCTAACATACAGATGTGGAAGATGGGAAGAGTAGTCTCCAGCCCTAAGGTTAAGCCTCAAATCAAGAAGGGACCTTAGCCTCTGAGTAGCTAACTGGTCAACGAAAAAGGAAAGCGATTTTGGAGACCTATTTTGTAGCCTAAAATAGAAAGCCCTCATAAGGGAAAAATGAAAGCTCATCGACCACCACTTGGGGTTAAGGGATCCAGGATGAGGAAGAGAAGAAATATGTGCCTAAAAGATGGTCCAATGAAATGAACATGAGACTGAGGGAGAAAAATGCCAAATAAGGACTACTAGAGAAATAAGTGGCAAAAAGTAACCAATAGGAACACAGGGCCTCAGTCATCAATGCCTCTTTAAAGAAGAAAAGAGACATTATAGGAAGCCAAAAAGGCGGGATATGAATGGGCAGAAGCAATAATTACATACCATGACGAGGACTCCATTAATGCTACTTGTACAGAGATAACCTGAGACATTAGATTAAACAATTCCAATTTTTGAGGCATCATATAGGCAAAAAGGCAGCTCCCCACTCTGAAATGACGTGATAGGGGTCAGGAACATAACCAACACCCTCGAGAAACTTCCTCCCAAGTAGGTGCTAGTTTAGACAATCAATAATTTGGGCCTAGGGACAATTGATATATCTTTTGGTTTGAGGTAATCCAACCCAAATGAAGCTGGGCTTGCCAGGTTAGCCAGATAAAAATGACCCATGGTTGAGCCCAATCCCAACCATCAGAAAAGGGTAACTCCAAGCCAAGGCCGGGTTTGCCCAATGAAGAAAATGACCCAAAATGCACTCTAGAGAGCCTAGCGATCTTGAAGGTGGATTATTTAGGTTCATTTATCAAAAAAGAATCACCAATGCCAAGTCATTAGTTTCTAGAAGGCTACATCATACATAGGGAAAATAAACTTTAACTGCCAAATATTCCCTCATTCAATCCTAACAAACAGGGGACCACTGCATGATGATGCGGAACCACTATAGCCTAAGGGTATATAAACCAAACCTGGCCCCTAGTGAGAAGGACAATTGGATATTTTTCATAAAGAATTGTAACCACCTTCTTCTTCTCCAAGTAATAGAAACGAGAGAACAACAGTCTCCATTAGAATGGATTAGCCTAGTTCTTCAGGTTGGTGAATCACTTACTTTCGTCATGTTCTTGATAATTTTTGAATCTCCGTACCTATATCTAGTGGGCCTTCACTTCTAGATAGCTCTTCAGCCTTCACATCTCATACTTCTCGGTTTTCTACATCATCATAATAGAGCCATTATATATTTAATTTATATGTTTTGCTATGATTTGGAGTTTTTGGTCAAATGATTTGTGTTTATATTCCAAATTTCCAGTGTTTTATAAGTTTTGATGCTATGATTTATGTTTTATTTATATTTGTGAGTGTTCTATATAAAATTTTTGAATTGGGCATTTGGAGATTGTAGATTTAAAAATTTTGTTTCCAAGCTTGAGCAATAGTCTGAGCTCGATCTGAGCTTAAACATCATTTGAAAAGTTTGATTAAATTAAGCCTAAGAATAGCCAATATTGGTTCTATTATCACCTATAACTATAATTAATGAATTGGATCTAGAAATGGAAACTTTGTTAGACTAACCAATAATATATTCTAGCTCATTTCTAAAATTGGATCAAACATGCAATGGGTGTGAAATTTTTTTTTTAGCCAAGGATATAAAGAAGAATGTCAAAAGATAATTCATCATAGGACACCATCTAACAAACCACAAGAGTTGTTGGATGACTTAACTCACTTGTCGATCCACTTGTCAAAACGTCTTTCTTTCATTTCACTCTTCATTTATATGCCTCCTTATCTTTCTATCACTCCCTCTTCCTAACTTTTTTTTATCTCTTCTTACTTTTCTCCATATTTTTTATTTTTTTGAAAGCACACATAATAACGATAAAAGATTCATCTAGAATCAAAATGGCTCACACTATAGGAGCTCAAAAATCAATCCTATTGCTTCAACTAGCCAAAAATAATAGAAAGAAACTCCAAGTCATCATATTTTGATAGCGAAAAAGAGTGAACAAATCATGACAAGGATAACTAAACAATGTGTTTTTCGACGTCATTAGAAGACAAAATCTTTGGACGTCAGTGAATAGGGCAAAGAAAAATTTTAAACCATCCAAGTACATGCCTTGGACGCTGTTAAGGGGATATGGAGCGAGCAAGTGATAGAAGGGTCACTATCTGTACATTCGAATAACCACAACTTTACGCCAATCTGAGGAATTTTTTTGTGTATTAGATTAGCGATGGAGAAAACCCTATGAAGTATGTGATGGAGAAAGCCCTATGAAGTATGCAATGGAGAAAACCCTATGAAGTATTTTCATAGTGTACTCCACTTCACAAACATGTATTAAACCAAGTGTAAGAGACAAGGGCAATAAGCACAAGAGGGTGACTAATGCAGTAGTGATGGGGATATAAAGAAATCACCAATTCTAAGTTTATAGAACAATAACAACTATGAATCCACAGAGAAAATAAGAAAAAACTATGAGATTTTGTTGATTGAATGAATAAAATCTTAGTACATCAGGCCTATTTATATGCATGCCCAAATTCATAAATGGAAATAAAGTCCTAATTATAGGAATTTACTAAAAATAAATAAAACATATGCCTCATAGATATAGGAAAGTTAACAACTCTAACAAAAACACATGGTGGATATTACTTATGAAAGTTGACATGAATTAGTCAACTAATAATTTAGAATATTCTTCTAATTCTTGTGCCCACTTTATTTTGCCACCTTCTGTTGCGCTTTGAATGCGTGATGGTCTTCCCGTTCCAAATAATCTGTTGTGACACGTTTTATACCAATTCCTCCATCTTGAAAAGAACTTGTTCTCGAGTTAGCACGTGGAAGATTGATAGAATCTAAATAAAATTGGAACAAGTCCTGCACGTTGAAAATGATAGAGATACTTATATCTGCGGGGAGATCAACAACATATACATTGTCATCAATCTTCTTTAGAATCTTGAATGGACTTATCTTCTTTTAGTTGAGCTTGCTATAAGTCTCAACTGATAATCTCTCTTGCACAGATGAACTATAACCATGTCCCCAATATTGAAATGCTTCTTCAATCGGTGTTTGTCTGTTGCTTCCATGTACTTGGCTACCAACGGTTCCAACTATTGCTTCACCTCTACATGTACATCTGTCAGCTTCTTCAGGATGTGGTCAGCCAAAGTGTTCACCCTTGAAAGCTTGGTAATGGAACTAGATAAAATGTGGGTAGAGTGCTCGAATGTAGACAATCTGGAATGGGGACCTTCTAGTGGATCTATTGGAAACATTGTCAATAGAAAACTCTGCTTCTGCTTTTGCTTTTCCTTATTGCTTGATGAATCCATTGCAACTGTTTCTACTTCAAGCAATAAGGAAGGGATGTTGTAATGGTGCTGAAATTCCTCACAAATCTTCAATAGAAGGTCTCAAGCCATGAAAGATGTGAACCTCATTGACTGTCTATAGTGTGGGCCACACGTGATTAGCCCCCGAATTTTCTCAACATCTACTGAGATCCTTGTAGCACTAAACACATATCCTAAGAACACCAGGCTAACAATCATAACACTGCACTTCTTTAAGTTCAGAAATAGATTGTTCTCCTACAAAGTTACAAAAATTGTTCTCAAGTGCTATAAGTGGTCAGCCTCATCATAGCTATAAATTAATATATCATCAAAATAAATGAAAACAAACTTTCCAATGAAAGCTTTGAACACTTGGATGTTCATATCGAATGAAAGTGCTAGGAGCATTAGACAAACTAAATGACTTAACCTACCACTCATACAATTTTTCCTTCATTTTGAAGATAGTCTTCCACTCATCACCAGGTCTAATATGGATATGATGATACTCACTATTTAAGTCAACCTTGGAGTATACATTAGCACCCTCAAATATATCTAGCATATCATCAAGATAGGGTATAGGATATCTATATTTCTCAGTGATTTTATTGATGGCCCGAATATCAACACATATCCTCCAACTCCAATCCTTCTTAGCAGTGAGTGGAGTAGGAACAACACAATGACCCATATTCATCCTAATTTGACCCTTTTGTAGTAGCTCATCAACTTGATAGTGTAATATTTTGAACTCTTTGGGACTCATCCAATAATGCCCAGTAGTCTCAGTAATTTCATCGCTACGTTCTATGCCCGGTAGTCTCAGCTATTACAATGGGGCAGGTTTGGAAGAGTACCCCCAAACACCAAGTCAATATGATTTGACGTCCCTCAAAGGAGGCAAACAAATTGCACACTCCCCTGGCCAAATTCTCCAAAACTCATAAAGCAGTGGTCTCAGCAACTCAGGAATTGGTTTAGGTTCAACCTACTGCTTCTCTTCACCCTTTACGACAATGACATATACCTCTCCACTATCCTTTACATCCTCATCAATGGAAGAAACAATAAAAAAAGGTTTGCCCTTTGCCTGAGATGCTACAAAATGAATCTCTCTTACTATAGGGACAAACATAATTGTAACACCATATTTGTAAAAGGTATACGTGTTGTCTTTGCCTCTATGGACAAAATTCAAAACATAATACCACAGTCCCCTAATAGAATATGACACTCATCCATATCTAAAACATCACACACAGTATCATTGTTATGTACACTATTTTGTTACCTTAGTTTTGCCGATGCTCTTAATCTAGCAAATCGTTTAGGGAAAAGGGTGTCTCTCAATCTGTAACTGTAACTTGTCGATCACCTCCCAGGATATAATATTCTCAATACTACCACCGTCAATAATCAACTAATAAACCTTCTGGTTCATGGTGCACTTGGTTTAGAAGATATTGTGTCTCTAAATGTCATCTTAATCTTAAGAGTATACATCAGTCAACGAACAACAAGGGAGATCCCCTCATCACCATATGTCCACACACTATCATCTTCCTCCTCGAAAGCCTCATCCTCCACGTGGTAGCTCTTTTCCCAATTAGTTACTTCAACATCGACCAGATTCACTGTACGTCTTTTAGGGCACTTATTAGAATGATGCCTTTATTAATCATATCAGTAACACTTATCTCCTTTAGGTTTGACATAGGGACTCTTTAGTTCCTCTGTAACTACTGGAGTTG